GAAGCCCCGGCAGAAAGGGAGGGCGGGGGGCTGACTGGGTTGGACTCCCATTTCCTGCGATCAGCGGATCAGATAAAAAAATTAGCAGCGGAATTACGAAACAAATGGGGATCGTTAAATAGAAATTAAATCTGCACTGCGTATGAGCAACAGGAATGTCTTAAGAGACTCGTGGTAACAGTTTTATGGTACCATTTCTCACCGGCAAGCTCAAAACCTGGCCACTTTTCTAGTTACCGGTGGACACTTGTCTGCCAGCAGATAGCAGGTATCATCATCATCATCATCTTAGAACTTCAGGACTGGAAGGTAGCCTATATATAAATCATCGTGTCTCGTCTGCCAGCAGATAGCATATCTCATTATCGTCGTTGTCATCATCATCTTAGAACTTAAGGACTGGAAAGTAGACTATAAATCATCATGTCTAGCCCCTCTCATGGAGGCAGAGGAGAATCCAACTTCCAACCTTTGTCTCCACAGCCAGAGACCTTAATCTGGTGAGCTACCTTCAGTGAGTGTTCATCATCTCTTCCAGGGATGCTCTGCAGATTTGGACCAATTAAAAATGTGACGGAAACCCACAGGAGCAAGTAGGATGTTGGAGTAGCAATCAGTAGGATCAGGATTTCGTGCATTTAAGAAGTTTTGATGGACAGATTTTGAGTGAATGGCAATCACTTAGAGCAGTTCCCAAATTTGGATAACCCCGGGGAGTTCTTGGACTGCCGTTCCCAAAAGCCTTCACCACCAGCTGTGGTGGCAGGGACTTCTGGGAGTTGTAGTCCAAGAAACCCCCCCCCCCCAGGTTACTCAGGGTTAGGAACCACTGACTTTCAGTAACAGTTTTTGTCTTTCCCTTCTGGACCTCAGTTTCTGTTTCTGGCCTTTTTACTTCAGTCAAAGTCAGTCAGGAAGCGAGGTCTACGAGTAAGTTAGCGTTTAGAAATGTTAGTGACAAGTTAGTCATGGGAGGGTTTCAATGTTTTGAGTATATCCATAATCAGTAAGCTAAGTAAAACGAACTTGGAAAAGCCAACCCTAACCATAAGTAACTAGTGAACATATTTTGTATTCTGACGAGGAGATTTTTGTAAGCAAAGAGAAACATTTTTATTCTCTCCAAACCAGAGGCTCTGACTATTTATATTGAGACTCTATGCCAGTTGAGCTAAAATGATGTGAGGTGAATCTGACCAAATATGACTAAAAACAATGTTTACAAGGGGAGGTGTATTTGAGGGAGAATTGGAAGTTAATCTTGCTAATCCGCTGTGTGAGCCTCTGTCTGGGCTGCTGCATAGCTGTGGACGTTTGTTTTTCATTTTTTTTAAACCAGCTTTTCCACACATCCTGCGCAACATGATATGCATCTGATCTCCACAGTCCTCATTACCTCACTTGTACAGAGCAAATTGCTACAGGACTGTATACAGCCGGCAATATTTGACGTCAGCAAAGGCGTTTCCCCCTTTTTATTTAGTACATTTTTATTCTTTCTTCAAGTAGTTCAAAACTGAATACTTCTTTCATCCCTGTTCTTACTTTAGGGTGAAAGAGGGTAAAAACTGTAGGAAGCTACCTTTACTGATTCAGACCATTATTGTCAACTCTGACAGGCAGCAGTTATACAGTTTTTTTTCCAGGCAGGACTCAACATTCCTAACACTTTTTAAGATGCTGAACGTTGACCTTGGGACCGCCTGCTGGCAAAACACCTACTGCTCTACCACTGAGCTATGGTCTCTCCCCAGTAAAGCGTTCAGTAGTCCCTGGTGGTCTCCCTTCCAAATGTTTTCCAGACCTAACCTTGCTATGCTTTGCAAAATTAAACAAATTTTGTGTATATTCTCTGTGGAGAGCCATGTCCTCTTACCTATTAGCAAAACAGTGAAAACATATCAGTAAGAAAGAGGGTGAAGTAGATACTGCATAAGATGTAAGAGTGGGTGATACCTTTTACTGGACCATTAAAAAAAAACAAATTGCAAGCTTTCACAGAGGTATCTCACTTCAGCAGGCTGAGCACAACCCCAGTGTTGTGGGGTTCCTCTGCAAAAACTTGCAATTTGTTTGATTTTTTTTGTCCAATAAAAGGTATCACTCACTCTTACATTTGTGTCATCTTGGGGAGCCATGCAACTGTTTTCTTCTTTTTTTCTGGACTGCATTAAAATGTGCCTTTGCTAATTTTCGGTATAAATGCAAAATGAGATAGGATAACTGTTATTTAAGGACAAAGTGGGGGGGGGGAATTGTCACCCAAATGCCGGGCATTCCTTCTGCTGTCCAAGTGCTGACTCTGGATGGGTCTTCTGCTTCTGAGAGTTCTTCTTTACATTTGAAACAGAAGAGGAATAGGCGGCAGCCACCCTAAAAGGGGACTAGCCCAAGGTTATCCAGTGAGCTCTGTGGCAGAGCAGGAACTGAAATCTAGGCTTCCCCTCTTCTGGCGCAGCATTCCAGGCACTGTACCGAGCAGGATGTCTGGATGTGTCCCGGTCCTGGCACCTCTTAACTACAGGACAGATCCAAATCCTTATTTCTCACCAAGAGGTAAGGTTTCTCTCCCTCCTGCTGTGGCATGTCTTGCTTGCAGCAGTCATGCGGAGAACCGCCTCTTCGCTTGTGCAAGCTCCCGGAAGGGACGTCCTGTCACTTTGCAGGTTGTGTGGCATCCCCAAGAAAAGGCCTGCCCACCGTTTGCAAGGACCCAAAGGAGCTCCCAGGGCAGCTTTTTCTCTTGTTAAACCATGTCCCATTTCATGGTCTTTCCGTACCGTCTAGTGTTCCAGTAATTGGAAACAGAACCTATTGCTTCTTGTCCTCTCTTAAGTTAAAGTCAGCAAGATCTTTCCTCTTGACTGAGATCTTTGAAAAGAGGGGTGGCTCAGGAGGCCCCTTTGGCCCGTTTTTGCACCTCCTCCCCACTTGTCTACTGTTGTTGAAGTCAAGTACTGCAATGTGGAACCACAGGGGATAAGGGTTGGGGAGCATCTTCCAGTAGCTTCATTCCCCAAAGACAGGAGAAGATGCTTTTTCCTCCTCATCCCCAAGGCTCTTCAGGAGGCAGGGAAAGCTTGCATCGTCTTCTTGACATCGCAGACGGCGGCTGCCTTGCTGTCACCACGCTCTGTGGTGGCGCGGCAGGAAATGTGGTGGCAGCTGCTGAATTTTTATGGTGGCTTTTATGGTGGGTTGGGGAGGGGGGCCTTCAGTGTGGCCTGCTCAGCACACAGAAGTTGCCACCCCATTTCCAAAGGTTTACAAGTGGTTTGTTTGTTTTCACCCCAGTCCACATTCTCCTTATTGGGGCAAATAGATGGGAAATGTTTATTTTTTTGGGGGGGGCGGGAAACTACAACTCCCAGGCTAGCCCCGTGTGGTATAATGGATAGAGTGACAGACTAGGACTCTGGAAGAACTGGGTTGGAATCCCCACTCAACCACAGAAACTTACTTTACAGGGATTGGAGCTGGTAAAACTCCTCTTTAAATATCTTATTTCCCTTGAATACCCTGTTAAGGTCTTTTATAAGTCGGTTCTGACTTGACAGCACGTCACAACAACAATCAACTCCCAGGATGCTACCGTGTCCATGCGGCCGGTGAGATTCTGGGAACTGTTTTAACAAACCCTAAGCAATTAGGTGGGACGTGGTGGCGCTGTGGGCTAAACCGCAGAACCCTGTGCTGCAGGGTCAGAAGACCAGCAGTCGTAAGATCGAATCCGCGCTACGGAGTGAGTGCCCGTCGCTTGTCCCAGCTCCTGCCAACCTAGCGGTTCGAAAGGATGCAAATGCAAGTAGATAAATAGGGACCACCTTGGTGGGAAGGTCACAGCGTTCCGTGTCTAAGTCGCACTGGCCATGTGACCACGGAAGATTGTCTTCAGACAAACGCTGGCTCTATGGCTTGGAAAAGGGGATGAGCATCACCCCCTAGAGTCGAACACGACTGGATAAAAATTGTCAAGGGGAACCTTTAACTTTTACCTTTTTTAAGCAATTACTATCTCTGGCCAGAGATGGTTAGTAGGCCTCTTGACTAAGATGTAGTCCAAAATGAGTACGTTGCCTATTCCCCTGTTCTCAGATGATTGAAATTGTCCTCTTTCTTTTCTTTTTTTTTAAACAGAGAACTTGGTTTTTGTGGCTTCAGAAGAACCTGCCCCCCAGGAAGGATGGACCTCTTGTGTGTTTTGTGGTTGCTGCTGCCCACCTGCGGGCTCCGGCTGTCTCTGGCGGTGAACCCCTTTGCCGTGCAGCAGGTCCCGCCCGACCCGTGCTACGATGAAAAGGGAGCGCCCCGTCGTTGCATCCCAGAGTTTGTCAACGCTGCCTTCGGGAAGGACGTGCACGCCTCCAGCACTTGCGGGAAGCCGCCCACCCGTCACTGCGATTCTTCAGATCCCCGGAAGGCCCATCCGGCCTCCTTCCTCACCGACCTCAACACGGCTGCCAACATGACCTGCTGGCGCTCCGAGACTTTGCACCATTCCCCGCAGAACGTCACCCTCACCCTTTCTCTGGGCAAAAAGTTCGAAGTCATCTACGTGAGCCTGCAGTTCTGCTCGCCCCGTCCGGAGTCGGCTGCCATCTTCAAGTCCATGGACTACGGCAAGACGTGGGTGCCTTACCAGTACTACTCTTCGCAGTGCCGCAAGATCTACGGCAAGCCCAACAAAGCCACCGTCACCAAGCAGAACGAGCAGGAGGCGCTGTGCACGGACGGCCACACCGACCTCTACCCCTTGACCGGAGGGCTCATCGCCTTCAGCACTCTGGACGGGCGCCCGTCCGCTCAAGATTTCGACAACAGCCCGGTGCTTCAGGACTGGGTGACGGCCACGGATATCCGGGTCCTGTTCAGCCGCCCCCACTTGTTCCGGGAGCTCGGGGGTCGGGACCACGATGACGAGGATGGTGGGATGAGCTCTTCCTCGTACTACTACGCGGTGGGGGAGTTCCAGGTGGGAGGACGCTGCAAGTGCAACGGTCATGCCTCTCGCTGTACGAAGGACAAAGAAGGCAAGCTGGTGTGCGACTGCAAGCACAACACGGAAGGTCCCGAGTGCGACCGCTGCAAGCCGTTCCATTATGATCGTCCGTGGCAGAGGGCCACGGCCCGGGAGGCCAACGAATGCCTGGGTAAGAATATGTTCTGTCTCTCCTTGTTAGGTCCCCTGTCCTGGCAGAGAAGGTTTTCCTCCCCTCAGGACCACGGCTGCTCACTTTCCAAATCAACGCAAAGCTGGAAAAAAAAAAAAGGCCAACGATTGCAATGGGACCGACACACGGTTGACCTTTCTTTTGTTGCAGAACAAGCTGTTGCAAAAGCCGTTCATCATGATGTGATGTTTCGCAGGCAAGAGCCCACAGCCTACTCTGTTTTCTTAGACAAATTAAGTAGCCATGAGAAAGTAGTGGGTAGATAGACGCATGGGTAGAAACGGAGGCAACGAGGGAGGCTGAGCCAAATACAGTAACCGGTTTTTCAGAGAAGATACATTCGTCCTTTGACATTCCAGCAAATGCCGATGTTGTTTAGACAGGGAAAGTGCTGGCAGCAGTGCGAGGGCTGGCTCTGGATTCGAGGGCACCAACACGCCTTCCGATGTGTTTCAGAGTTCACCGAGAGGGCTTGCCTCGTAACTCGGGAAGCGACAGGCCCTCCCCCGCTTTTTTCTTTTTCTTGGAAATAAGATGTTCTTAAATTTAAAAATATTCATTGGTGGGTGACTGCTGATTGACATTGCTCTGCACACACCAGACTGATTTCACCTCAAGAGGATGCTGGGAAAAACAAAATGGCACCCTCCAGCCAAACTGCAACCACCTACGCTCAGTCCAGGAGTCAGGCAGGCAGGCGGGCAGCTGGCTTGGCATTATGCAGAGTTGGCACCAGGCCTTCTAGAATGGCAGGCCCTTCTTTTGCTGACGGTATTTGTATTGTTAGGGTTTCCTGGTCTCAGAAAATCATGTTTTGGGGTCCATTATCCAGATTTCAGAGGTAAAATCCTAGTAATGGGGTTCTTTCAGTTTGCCCGGATTTCGGGGTTTATTCTTATGGCTCAGGACCACAAGGATTTGGACATGCTCAGAAGCATCTTTATCTTTTTCATTATCTTGTATGTTCTCAAACTCCTCGCATGGCTAGTGCTGGATTTCACATTTTAGCCTTTAAATTCATTATAGAGTGTGTAGATTCATTCGTTCGTTCATTTATTCATTCATTTACACACACCACCTTTCTCCTTAGAAAGAATCCAAGGCGGCTTACATCATTATTTAAAATGGGCAACAGTGGCAAAAAGGATCAAATGGACAACTTCTTAAAAAAAAAAGATCAAGACCAAAATATATTCAAAAGAGTGAAGGCACAACAGTTCATTTAAAAACCTCACTCAGGTAGCCAGTCATTTGGGGACAGCTTGTCTGATGAGAAAGTTTTCCATCTGCTGGCAGAACCCCAGGATCTGGCTTATGGAAGGAGCCTCTTGTGGGAGGGAGTTCCAAAGTCTGGGAGTAGCCACAGGGAAGGTCCCCTTCCATGTATCCACCGCTGTGAAAATGATTGCACTGAGCGAAAGACCTCATCTGGTGCTCTTAAATTCAAGGAGGCTCATCGAGGGAGATGCAGTCCTTGAAATGGCAGGGGCCTAAGCTGTTTTGAGCTTTATACGTTAGAACCATCCCTTTGAATTCTGTCCAGAACTGGATCAGCAGTCAGTGGAGCTGCTGTAAAGGGGCGTGGGGTGGGGAAGATGGGTGTTATGTGATCTCCGTGGCTAGATTTTTTTTTAACTTCAGCTCCTTCGGCCAGATGCCCACCTTAGGAGCTTATTTTTAGAAGGTGGTCAACTGCTCTTCTACTGTAGGCTTCCCTGATCTCTCTGCCTGCCCCAAATCTCTTGATACAGCTGGGCTGATTTGATTTGGCCGTGGGCAAGGGATCAGAGGTGGGCAACGTCAGTGGGCCTAGAGCTGACCTTCCCCACTGGAGCCCACCACCAACTGCACTATTACACCCCTCTGTCGCACAGCACCTTATTTTACTAGAAAAAGCACTTTAAGAAGAAAAACCCAGAAATGTGTCTTTCTAAGCTTTGGTTTTAAGAAGAGATGATTAAAAAAAATAATATCCAAGATGTATGCCTTGTTCTAAAACAGGATTTCCCCTCCCAGGAGTGCAGTTTCTCTTGTTTTATGCTGTGTTTTCACTGTTGTTGTTATGTGCTATCAAGCCGCCTCTGACTTATAGCAACCTTAAGGATGAATGGTCTCCAAAATACCTTCTGCAGCCCTGCTCTGTTCTTGTAAACTCAAGTCTGTGGTATCCTTTAGGGAGTCAGTCCATCTTGCATTGGGTCTTCCTCTTTTCCTGTTGCCTCCCACTTTTCCCAGCCTTATTGTCTTTTCCAGAGAGTCCTGCCTTCTCAAGATGTGCCCAAAGTAGGTCAGCTTCACTTTCATTATTTTTTGCCTCCAGAGACTTCTGCAGCCCTGCTCTGTTCTTGTAAACTCAAGTCTGTGGTATCCTTTAGGGAGTCAGTCCATCTTGCATTGGGTCTTCCTCTTTTCCTGTTGCCTCCCACTTTTCCCAGCCTTATTGTCTTTTCCAGAGAGTCCTGCCTTCTCAAGATGTGCCCAAAGTAGGTCAGCTTCACTTTCATTATTTTTTGCCTCCAGAGAGAAGTCAGGCAGATGTGCAGGTCAGCCTCACTTTCATTATTTTTTGCCTCCAGAGAGAAGTCAGGCTTGATTTGTTCTGGGACCCACTTGTTTCTCTATCTGGTAGTCTAGGGGATCTGCAGACACTCCTCCTTCTGAGACCCACTTGTTTCTCTATCTGTAGTCTAGGGGATCTGCAGACACTCCTCCAGCACCACATTTCAAAGGAATAATTTTTTTTCTGTGTCAGCTTCCTTTACTATCCAGCTTCCACCAGGGTGGAAGGTTTTGTTCTTGTTCTCCAGTGATGCATCCTTGCGTCTTTTCTGACTCGTTCATTACTGTCCTTCTGAGTGTTCAGTCTCCTTCTGGTTTCTTTCAGTTTCTGTTTAGATTGATGGTTGGACCAAGATATTAAAACAAATCTCAAACTTTTTCAGTTTCTTCATTGTGAATGTTCAAGTGTGTAGTTTTCCCCCCTGTAGTTTTGGTCTTAGTTGATCTGTCGTCCTGCTTTAGCACTTCTTTCACTTTCACTAAAAGTCATTCCAAGTAATTCCTGCATTCTACCAAGAAGATGATGTGGTCTGCACATGATTGATGTTTCTTCCGCCAAATCTCACTCCTCCTTCGTTAGAATCTAGTCTAGCTTTCTGTACGATATGTTCTGCATATCGTTTCTCACTCCTCCTTCATTAGAATCTAGTCTGGCTTTCTGTACGATATGTTCTGCATATCGTTTGAGCGGGCAAGAGGATAAAAGGCACCCAGATCTGAGAAGGAGGAAGCCATGGTAAACCACCGCTGAACGTTTCTTACCTTGAAAACCCGATCATTTTTCCACTCTCGCATAACCGTGTTTCACGGGGAAGGAAGAACCCAAAATAGGCAGGGGATATCTAAACGTTTGGTGTCAAACGGCTACTTTGGGGTCAGAGCAGATTCAGGCCAGGCCACCAACTGCTGACAAGGACTCAAGTCAATGAGTGTGCATTGTTAAATTAAAGCATCCACGTATTGTCTGCAATAAATGTAAAGGTATTGTCTTCAATAAATCTCTGTAGTGATGTACGGAAATGAGAGCTGGACCATAAAGAAAGCTGACCACCAAAGAATTGATACTTTTGAATTGTGGTGCTGGAGGAGGCTCTTGAGAGTCCCCTAGACTGCAAAGAGAACAAGCCTATCAATTCTAAAGGAAATCAACTCTGAGTCCTCACTGGAAGGACAGATCCTAAAGCTGGGGCTCCAATCCTTTGGCCATCTCATGAGAATAGAAGACTCCCTGGAAAAGACCCTGACATTGGGAAAGTGTGAAGGCAAGAGGAGAAGGTGACGACCGAGGATGAGATGGCTGGACAGTGTCATCGAAGCGACCAATATGAATTTGACCCAACTCAGGGAGGCCGTGGAAGACAGGAGGGCCTGCCGTGCTCTGGTCCATGGGGTCCCGAAAAGTCGGACACGACTAAACGACTAAACAACAACATTGTCTTCAGCAGATTCCAGGGGCTCTCAAAGGATTCTACCTTACGCATAGATTTCTGAAATACTGTAGTTTCACAGAAAATAATAGTGCTGGCTGAAAGTCCTGGTGACCCAAGACAGAAGTGACACAAACTTCGACACAGCCTGTGTCACTTGCACTATTTCCCTGTAAATCTCCCCCACCCCCATCCTGCCTGCCCGGCTAGCTGGACAACGGGCTCCTTTAGCATCACTATGCCTTTTGGGGGGTGGGGGCGTTTTGGGGGGATGGGTGGGGAGGGGTCAGTCCTTTGGCAGATGGAACCAAGAGGATGAACAAGAGGAGAGAAAAGGAATGCGGGCCGAGGGCTGGGGGGGTGGAGGGAGAGGGTGTCCCTTCAAGATACCCCTGACGGGTCCAGCCGCACAAAGGCGGCTTAGCTGAGCTGCCGTGTGAAAGTTTTCCCTGGGCTCCATCGCCTCTTTCTCCCTTTCCTCTTGCCGGCTTTGTGTGCCTTCTCTGAAAGAGCTCCTCCATCACACGCCTCCGAGGGGGCTTAGTTTAGCGGCTGAAAGCCGGATTAGCTCCCCCAGCATTCCCCTCTGTGCCTTTCAGCTGTGACATCTCCCCGGCCAGCGGGAACAGACGCAGCAATTAGTACCAATTAAAGGGAGAGGGCCCGCCTGGGAAGTCCTTCCCCCCCCTCCCTGTGCACCGCTAAGCCATGGCAGGGCTCCTGGTTGCCCTCGGTGCCTGCCCTGCCCGCACCTAGCCACCTCTGCCTCTTCCATGCGAGGGCACTCGGTGGGAGGCGCCTCGGCTTGGAAGGCCGCCTGGCAGGGCCTCCCAGTGGCAAGGCAGACACGAGGGCAGGGCTGAGGGGCGTGTGGCCCCCACCAGCGATTCTTGGACCGCAGTTCCCAGAATTCCATAGTGAGGACTGAAGACAGTTGCAGTCTACCATTGTTAAGACCACAAATCACCCATCTCAGGTCTCATGTGTGACTCT